TTCCATCCAAGCCAGGCACCCCAATTCCCATGTCCTCCCCGACAGACTTTAAAGCTCCACCGGCAGATCCCGTGTGTGTGTCATGGCCCTGGGTGCTGCTGTTTACATGACTCCATTTAACTGGTGCTAATAACGCGCATGTATTGAGTGTAGGTAGAGTTTTTCGTCAGGACCGCTGGCTCCCCAATAACCATACAGGGACCTAATATTAATTATAAATGCTCGGCCAATAGCTTAGGCTTGTTGCTAACTAGCTCTTACATCTTAAATTAACCCACATTTCTTATCTATGCTCTACCACGCAGCAGCACCTTCAGCGAGCATGTTTGTCTCGCTTCTCCACAGGTCTCCTGGCGACTCCACTCTCCTTCTTCCCCGGCTCTCTCTAACCTCTACCTGTCCAGCTGCTGGCCATTCCACCTTTTATCAGACCAAGGAGAGCAACAGATATTCACAGTGTTTGAAAAGATTGTTCCACGGCAATTGAGCATCGATGCCTATATCAGGCTGTCCTGAGAAATTTTCTATGTCCGTGTTCCATTGTCTCTGCCATGCCCCCAGCCACCCCCAGGAGGATCACCTGGGGTGCATCTTTTACTTACTAGCTTGCTGGAGCCCAGAGGCGACTTTGCACAGCTGCAAACATAGCTCAGAAACTGCTTTTGTGTGTCCCAGCCCCACTGTCACCACACTGAGTGAATGAAGGAGCAAAGATCAGCTGTGTGAGGTACAGGAAAATGTCCTGGTTCGGTCAGATGTGGCTCTAGTCCAGCCTGGCTTGGCTCTGAGCGAGTGTGGCCATGGCTACCCTTCTCGGACCACAGTCTCTCCTAAAGAGTGAAAAATGGTCTCTCTGTGACCCTTCCCTTGGCAACCGCTCCATGTAGCCCAGTTACTGGATAAACTGAAGAGCCCAACAGAGAGGATCATGGTGGTTTATTATTTTAGTGTTATGACTGGGAATGTAGACGATGTCAGGAGCCCGACTAAGCCCCAGAGAGAGGGGCTGAGAGGACAGAGGAGGGGTGCACAGCTCTGCCTGCCAGACATCTGGATCCTCCTTCATCTCGGTGTCAAGTTCCAGGCACTCCAGTTTTCTGGCTGGTGGGGAGAGGCACACCCTATTCATGGTCTCCATTTCCCCACCAGCAGAAATGAGTCACCCCCCCACCCCCCGGGGCCATACCTCAATCTTCCTGAAGTCCCCGCCACACGGCTCTGCTGTGAGTAGGCCTGTCATATGCACATGTACAGGTGTGGAATATCATGGAAAGTTCGGTCCTGAGTGGGAGATCCCTCACAATGGGGAGCTTGGTCTGACTCATGGATGACCTCACATCTCGAGAGTGTCCCTAACCCCTGAGAAGTCTGTGTCTTTCAGTCAGGGCACTAGTGGAAAGGAAGCTCTTCCTTGGGTTTTCCTCTGTGTCACTCATGGATCTAAGAACAACTATAGAGCCTGGCATAGTGGTTTAGTCCTGTAATCTCAGCGCTGGAGAGGCTGAGGCAGGAGGGTTACAAGTTCAAGGCGAACCTGGGTTACAGAGTGGCACTAGTTTCAAAAAGGAGATGATGATGATGATGAGGAGGAGGAGGAGGAGGAAGAGGAGGAGGAGGAGGAAAATGCACTGGGGATTCGGGGGTCCTCACACCTGGAAGAGTGGAATCACATGGATCTGTCCAGTCTCCTAGTTGGCCCTCACCTCAGAAAGCCAGCTGGCCTCAGGCCGTGACCAGGAAGGGTGACCTCTCCACCCCCTTCAGCTTCAGGCAAGTGAGGGTCCAAGCAGTCTAGTCAACTCCAGGCTCTGGGGGAGCTTACATAGCCCCAGGGCACGGTCGAGCCCCACCAGTCCTAAGTGGGTTTAACGCCAGCAGGCTGCGCTTTGCTGCTCACTCAAGCTGGTGGCCCCACCTGACTCCATCACCTGACTTCACAGTGGTGATGTGTGAGATGCAAGAGTACACACAACAGACCCCAGAGCCCTCATGTCACCTGAGCGCCTCGTAGTGTCTGTCCCTCGGTTCTCCCAGCCTGGGGAGATCACTCACCCACTTAAGCTGTTTTCCCACTGTGAGCATTTCTACACATCCAAACTGGCTCAATACGTACAGTCCACAAAAGAGCTTTTACACAACGCTGAGTCTGAAAGCTTTTACAGGGTAGCATGACCTAAGTCTCCTTTCACAGACTGTCCTTAATGGACTCAATTGTTTAATTGTGTGTGCATGTGCGTGTTCACACATGTGTGCGTGTTCACACTTGGGTGTGTGGGCACATGCAAATGTGTATGAAAGCCAGAGGGGTCAACTCTGGTTGCAACTCCTTAATCCAGTTTCTCATGTTGTGGTGATCCCCAACCATGAAATTAGTTCATTGCTACTCATAACTGCAACTTTGCTACTGTCATGAGTCATAATGTGAATATCTGATATGTGAGATGTCTGATATTCAATCCCCTAAACGGGTCACGACCCACAAGTTGAGAATTACTATTCAAAATCTATCCACCTTGTTTTTCTGAGGCAGGTCTCTCATCCAACCTGGAGCTCACTGACATGGCTAGGCTAGATGCACCTGTCTCCAGCCCCCCCCCCCCCCCCAGTGCTGGGATTACAGCTGTGTGCCACCGTGCACAGCTTCCTGTGTGGGTGCTGGCTCTGGAACCAAGGACCTTGCCCTTGAGAGGTAAGTACTATATTGACTGAACCCTCCTCTCCCCAGTGCCTTACTGACTGAGCCCCAGTCCCCATCCTTTATTTAAAAGACTCACAGCTCACTAAACAGGCATGTGCCAGGACCCTGAAGCACATGGTCCAATCTCCGGCAGTTTAAACAGCCAAGCCATAAGCCGAGCCACCCCAACTCAGGAGGTCTACAGGAGGGCTGACACAGTCAAAGCTGCACTTGTAGGAGTCTCCAAAGCAATGACTGACCACGCCCCTAAGACGTGAACTTGCTGTTTTGAAACAATCTAATAATTCTGGTAGCTGTTAAAACCTTGACTGAAATCACCTTTGAAACCCTATGCATGTGTGCGTGTGTGCGTGCACGAAGAGGCCAGAGCCCAACACTGAATGTCCTTCTCTATCACGTGATCTTGTATTTTTGAGAACAGAGTCTCTCACTTCATCATCAGCAAGACTGAGCACCAAGCCCCAGATCTGCCTGTCCGCCCTCCAGCCTTGAGATTACACCCCCACTGAACCCATCCTGTTGAGTAGGTGTTGGGGATCTGAACTCGGATCCTCAGGCTTGCACACTGGGCATTTCACCCACTGAGCTGTTTGCCAGCCCTTTAAATTAATTAACTCATTCATTCTTAAACCATGTTGGCTTCGTGTGTTGCAGTGCATGCACAGAGGTCAGAGAACAGCTTGGGGAAGCTTGTTTTTTCCCTTTCCCCATTTAAGCGCCAGGGGTCAAACTCGGGTCAAGACTGGCCACCAGCTCCTTCACCCTATGAAGTCTCATCAGCCTAGACTCACACTGAACAGAACTTCAAAGCTCTCTAGAAGAAATGCATCCCATGGACCTATGGAAAAGCTCCATCCCCGTGGACCAATCAGGGACTGAGGATTCACACAACCTGATGCAACATAGGGGTTCCCCAGGAGGGAGGGACAGTCTCCTGCTGTCCCAGAGTGTCTCACTGAGCCGTTCTGTGGCCCGGCCACCAGCAGCTCCTGGGTAACTCCATAGAGCAGCTGAGGTAACAGTCCTCTCCCTAGATGACAGGTGAGCTCCAACCCTGGTCCTCGGAGACAAAAGCAGAGAGCAGAGACTTGATAGTCAAAGCCCATCCTTCTGGGCTACTCGGGATTCACTGACATCAGAGGGGGTCCTGGTAGGAGAAGTAACACATCCGGGTCACGGGTGGAAATCCAGGGGCCCCGTGCTCCTGATCAGGCTCTAGAGCAGAGTGGGAACTGAAATCAGGCCGACTGTCCCGGTATCCAGAGTCCTGGACCACTATGCAGAGAGGACATAGAGAATTCTAGAATGGGTAAGCTCCTTGTCCTTCCTCTGTTTACTCTGTCTCTGAAAACCCAGACTGGCCAGCACCTAGGAGACTGCACAGGGTCCTCTCTCTACATCTCTGTAGCCTCACTACCCAGAAGATGCCCAGCCATCTGTTATCTGGGGAAGGGGTTCAGAGAACACCCGGAAGTCCCTGCTGAGTGCCCGTGAGACTGGGCTCTATCCGAGGTTTTCATAATATGTTTTTGCATTCAATTGATCAAATAAAGGGGCTAAGTGTGGTGGCATGGGCCTTTAATCCCAGCCCTCGTAAGGCCGACACTGGAGGATCCCAAAGTTCAGGCTAGCCTGGGCTACATGGTAAGGTCCTGTGTCTAAATAAATAGTAATGGAATACAGGGGCAGAGGAGTTTCTTGCCTTGGCTTTTGGGACTTAGGTACAAAGGGGAGAGCAGTCTGGAAGTCTACACAGCAAGTAGTGGCTCTCAGAAGGCCACTGGGCTGTGTCACCTTGTGGATATTACCACAAAGGTAGGACCATTTGTGAGAGGAAGCACTCACAGGGACGGCAAGATGCCAGAGCAAGGAAGAAGGGCCACACATCAAGCCTGTGCATGAATCTTTGTGCTAATGCATGTATGTGCACACATGCTCCTAGCTCTCTCTCTCTCTCTCTCTCTCTCTCTCTCTCTCTCTCTCTCTCTCTCTCTCTCTGTGTGTGTGTGTGTGTGTGTGTGTGTGTGTGTGTGTGTATACAGAAGATGGCTACTGCACCCTGACTAGTGTTGTGCAGCTGTACCTCTAAATGAAAACATCTCCTGGAGGGAGGAGAGAGGCTCCTGAGGCTCAGGAAGAAAATTTACAAGGCTCAGATAGTCCCTGAAACTTTACAAAATTCACAGGGGCCTCTCCCTGCCACTCCCACTGGGGTATTAGATCACAATGTTGAGCAAGACCACCCGGAGACTATCCCAGGGGACTCTACCCACAGCTTGGGTCCCAGAAATCTGACTGGGATGACAAGGAATGAAGAAAGGACAGTCACACAGAAAAGCTGGAATCAGGAGGGTTGTGTTCTCTCTGATGAAGCCACACCAACTACAGCAACAGCCTGGAACCTTTATCGTGTACGGTACAGGAGGAGGAATTGACCAGCCTAGGGTGGGGGGTGCCCACAGGAAGTAGTTTCCAGCTTGAGCACCCAGGAAGGGGAAACTGCAGTTGCCAGTTTTTGCACACACAGCCAACACTCACACTCAGAGCAGAGGAAAGGCTTTGCTTGCCATCCCCATAGGTGTGAGCATTGGTCCTTGGCATGGCTGTGCCCAGGTTAACAATACTCAGGACTTCATCTGCTCCTTACACGTTCACTCAAAGCCTCCTTGGATTCTCACACTCTCCGAGTTTATATGAGCGGTATCAATTTTCAGGGAGAGGAGACCTCAGGGCAGCCAGCAGCCTGCAGGCCAGGCAGGGAGCTCCAGGGCTGCCATTTTCCTGAGCTGTCCCCTGTGCTTTTCCCAGGTGCAACTGCCTTTGTGTCACCCATTCTTCCATAAACGATCCTTGTTGCTGGGTTTTCTTGTCCAGGTCCCACCGCCCTTAAGCCCCAAATAAATACACGGATGCTATATTAATTATAAAACTGCTGGCTGAAGGCTAGGGCTTCTTACTGGCTTGCTCTCTCTTAATTACTAACCCATTTCTATTAATCTAAGTATTTCCCTGTGGTCTTGGCTTACTGGAGAATGCCTGAACCTGTCTCTCCTTTGCCAACTGTATGGTGTCCTCCTGAGGTCCCTCTCTGTCTACCTTTCCCTCATCTCCTGTGCCACCTATCTTCCTGCCTCTCTTGTCCAAACTGTGTTTAATTCATAAATCAATAAGAGAAACATACATTAAGTGCAAATGTGGTACACAAATACACACATGCAGGCAGCACACACAAAACCATGAATGTAAGATGACCTGTCATGTGGACAGTGCTAGAACTCTCATAAAGTTCAGGAACTGAGGGTGTTTTTCCTTTCAGACACTCATCATGCCGTCCCTAGCAGCTATCTCTCCTGGTGAAGCCCTTCCTGGAACCCAGACGCTCACTCTCCGCCTTCAGGCCGTAATTCTCTAAATAAGCTTCTCAGGAATAATTCATCCAGCGTCCTTCCTACCAGCCTCAACCTTTTACGTGCAGTGTGCACCTCTCGTCCCAGTTTTGGAGTCAGTTCCGAGACCCTGCCAGTTACCCTCACTGACATCTTCAAGGTCTTTGAATAACAAGCTTTTGACTTTAGTGCCTCCTACAAATCCCGTTGAAAGCAATCTCTTTAATCCCTTTGGATTATTCCCAAGTGAGAAGGGGGAGCTTAAGGAACACGATGTTACCATGGGCTCCTCTTTGCTTTCTGTCCCTTTTTAATCCTTCAGTTTCTCAGTAGAGCCCAAGTAACTTCTAGGCTCCACAAGCTCCAGGTCCTACTAGTTAAGGAAGTATAGCTTAAATAACCAAATGAAAACTGTCCTGTGCTTGTCATGTTGCTTCTACAAAACACCGGCAAAAGCAATTTAAGGGGAGAAGAAATTTGTGGTCTACATCATGGTGGGGAAGTCGTGGCAGAAGTAGGGGTGTCTGCAGTGGTGGAGAAGTCATGGCGGGAGCAGGGGACGCTGGTCACATTGCACCTCCTGTCAGAAAGATGAATGCCAGTGGTCAGTGTACTGTCTCCTTTTTCCTTAGTCTGGACCCCAACCTGTAGGGTAGTCCTGCCCACATTTAGGGAGGGTCCCCCCAACCTTTCTGACCTAATTTAAATGATCCCTCACAGACACACCCAGAGATTTGTTTCCGCAGTGGTTCTAAGTCTCATCAAGTTGACAGCCGCCGGGAGGAACCATGACCGAAATCAAAGAATTTTCAGTTCTTTCCTCACCAGAGGATCCTACCAGGGTCCTAGTTACATCCCTAGGACACATCTGGAAACTCCCACTGTCCCTCGGGAAGAAACCAGGTCACAGAAGTACATCCTTCCTAGTGCTGGTTGAGCACTCAGAAACCGACCACCATAATCACAGCGGGTTCCTCCACAGTGGGCAACGCTCTGCCACAGATAACCTGGAGCTCCCACCCACTTGTCCTACCTTATCCATTGTGCCTACGTCCCTACATTGAACCTCTCCTGCAGATGGTGGCATTTGTCTCCCGGTAAGACATGTGCGGGGCATAGTGGGCATAACAAATCCTGACTCCACAATCTTCCAGAACCCTCCAGAAATGCAGCAATATATTTTCTGAAGATATCTCTCGCCTTTGAAGAGTCCAAACTTTAAGTGGATCTTGTAGCCAAATTAATAATGTGCCCTGGGACCATTTAGGACTGTATATTTAACTGCTGTCCTACTGTGTGCTTAGCCTGTTTGTTTAACCTGTCTTTAAGAAAACACTATAACAACCAACCTTGCTTGCCTTGGATTTACAATATAATCAGCTTTTACAACCTAAGCTAATGCATAGCTGTAATCTTAAATTATAAACTCTTCCATGCTCCTGACCTAGAATTGTGGCGTGTGTGTGTGTGTGTGTGTGTGTGTGTGTGTGTGTGTGTGTGTGTGTGTGTGTGTGTGTGTGTGTGTGTGCTATAACTATTTGCTTCATGCAGCCAGCATGTTGGGAGCAACCTTAAACGAAACAAACATCCCATAAATGTTTGATGCAGCAATATGTGGATATATGTCGGTTAAATCTGTGCACAGTTTTGAGTGCTCTGCTGGGTCATTTGGGGTCAGTGAAGTAATGTCTCCTCTTGTGATCCTTTGTTAAAGAGCTCTGTGCGCTCAGCAAACACAAAGTGAAGCCCATTGTTAGGGGCACACACACACACACACACACACAGTAGGCAGACACAACATATGGACAGACAACACAGGACAGACACACACACAAAGACAGATCCATAACCACAATCTACAGACAGACAGAAGACGGGGAGAGAAGTGGAGAATCGTATTTGTGCTCACTCTCTGTCAAACTGCATAATGAGGGCGTCTCTGCTCTGTTCCTTAACACCACATCGATGGCACGATCCTGGTTCCTTCACCGTCTGCAGCAGACCTGGGCAAGGAGGCTAGCATTCCCAAGACTCTGTTTTCTTTCCGCTTAAGGCTGGCCCACCGGCAAGCCTGGCACCTCCCTGGAGCCTGGGCCACTCTCCACACGCTCCCTCTCCTCTTTCTAGATTGTATTTGAGGAAGGGGTCAGTGTGGCTCAAAGGATAGCTCCTTACAGACGGTGACAAAGTTAAATCAAATAAGAACTCCACTTTGTTTGAGGCCTGAGCACACTGTCTCCACCTTCCTCAGAAGGTAAATAGCACACACACACACACACACACACACACACACACACACACATACACACACACACACACAAATACCCAATAAGCACTTAAATACAAACCTAAGTGCACCACCTCCTCCCATGATCCTTATGTGAGTATACATATACACACACTCAGAAACTCAGGCCAGATTTGGGGTTGGAACGTCAGACTGAAGGAGCATCTGCTGCAAATGTCTTTCTGGGACAAATGGTCTCTCAGGAGCAAGGAGGGAGCGAGGCACCTACTACACCCTGAATAATAAGCTGTAAGTTTCTTGTCCCCACTCTAATCTGCCAGGAGACAAAGGACCAGTGGGAGACTTGCTCTCTGTGGTGGCCAGTGGCCTCCAGATAGAAAGGGGACATACTGCACACTCCTCAGGACCTAAGATGTTGCTTGCAACCCACCACTAGGTGCCAAGGCCTGGAGTCATTGCCCAGCAGCTCCCAAAAGTGCGGTGCTGAAGAGAGAGACCCAGAACCAGGTTAGAGAGCCAGAGTTGTTAGGCTGTTTTTATGACACAGTCAAAAACAAGAAGCCAGGACAGTGAGGTAGCCAGCCAAGGTGGTGACTAAAACACTGTCCCTGGCCACCACTGTGGTCAGCTGACTCCATCCCTATAAAGCCAGTGTGGCAACTCTTCCATTACAATCTCCATTTCCATGGTTTTATGGCTTGGCCATAAAGTGAGACTCTGTGGACGAGCAGGGGCTCCTGTGGGAAGCTGACTCTCGACTTTCCATCCATAACCATTCTCTGTGCCACTTACTGGTTTGTACAGTGTCCTGATGAGTGCTGGGAAGTGCTGCAGTCAAAACACCACACGGACACTGGGGACATAGGCCTGCTCCTGACTGTCTGATGTTGCCTTGCAGTTTAGGTGTCTCTTTGTATGGGGGGATGTTCCCCAGCGTTCAGTTCCTGAACCTCTGCCTCACGGTTCACACTGCCTTCCAGGGCAATGTGCTGACGGGGCCAGTCAACATGTCACAGACCACAACCAAGGATCCCAGAGGCCCCGGGGCTTACTGGAAGGACAGCCAAGGTGGGTGTACCCAGTCCTCACAGGGTTCTCTTGCGGTCCAATGTGGTATTCAATCACAACGCTGAGCGAGGTCAGCTGGAGACGGTCCCAGGAGACTCCCGTGGGAACCATGAGCCCACCCCAAATTCTCAGAGCTCTGATGTCCACTAGGTGCACAGGCCATTCATCCTCTCCTCCTAGCGTGCGGGGAAAGTGCAGCCGGTGCTAATGCCCATCTATGGATCTGTGCACACAGACACAGGTACACGTGCACACACGTATGTGCAAACACGGACACACATGTGGGTACATGTACACACAAACACATGTGCACGTGAGTAGGTACATGCATTCTATCACACACAGATGCACACACAAGCATAGCCATTGACCAGGTATGTGTGCACATACATACTTACATAGGCAAACACACAAATGCACATATGTATGTGCACACGCACTCTCACTCCACACACACACACCCTAGGAGCTGCTGGGAAGCTTGTGTTGGCAACAGGAACAGACAAGCCGGGAAGGGGATCAGCCCCTCTGGTGTGTGTTCTTAGAACTTCTTTCACATACAGAATGTGCAGAGCAATCACACCTCTAGAGCCAGGCAGCCTAGCTGGCCATGAGCAAAGCAGGATATTTTGTGAGCAATACATGGGCTGCAGGCAGAGTCCAGAGCCTGGATCCCTGTTTTCCACCAGGCCAAGGCCAAGCACATGAATTCTAAGACTCAAGATGGGACACACCCACATTCTGTTTGACCTTGGGCTCAGCAACTCTCTAAAAATAAAAACAGATAACACACACACACACACACACACACACACACACACACACACCCTGTAGTGAGATATCCACCCAGCCCTCACCTGTAGCACTGACCACGCCCGTTTGGGCATGGTCACAGGTTTGGACATGACAGAGGGTAGGACTAGGTCCGGGGTCCCCGACCCTGGCACTCTTTCTTGCTTCCAGTCAGGTCACAGAGGGCAGCCTGGGAGGATCCTTGGAGCTGGAACTTGCAGTGGTCACCCGCCTCTTGTGTAAGTGCCTCCTCCCCAAATAAACTTCACTTTAACCTGTACTGAGTCCAGTGAATCTTGATTCCCACGCAGTACATACACCCCGACCACCTGAGCAAGATGGAGTCATCTACCCTGGACAATGGAGGACAAGCCGAAGCTGCAGGGACCCCAGAGTCTGCACCCGCCCCTGCCCTCGCTTTGTTTCCTGGCAGCACTCAACATGCACTTGGCAAAATATCAGAAGGAAAAGGCTGAGGAATGAAGGCATGGAGCGAATTACCCTGAAGATCAGACGCTCGGGCTCAAGCCCAGGTCCTCGCAGAGTCTTGCGTGAAATCTTACAAGCAACATAAACAGAGTGGGGGCCAACAGCTCCACCAGAAATATTCAATAATAAAAGCCAGCTGTGGCCCCAGCCCTTCCCAGGCAAAGCTTGTGGTTCCTGCCACTGGGAACGCTGACAGAGGCAAAAACTGCCAAATGAAAGCCAGTTAGTTTCCTTTCCTCCCAAAGAGGGAAGTGTTTGTGAGCTGCAGTCTAAACATTCACTCAAAACTCCAACGGTCCATAAAAACAACTGAAGATGCAGCTTCTCGGAAACACATCTGACCAGAGTGGCCAGACCCCGCTCTGGCGGGACCACTATTTTGATTTGAGCTCCACATCTCCAGTTTGGAAAAGCTCTGGGGTCTCTCTCTGGGACTTCAGCTCTGGATTGGTGAACTGGAATCCACCGTGCTGGGGGGCTGGCTGCATATGAGCACAGAGCCCCTGCAGCCACAGCCCTGTTCTCTGACCTATGGGGTCCCAAAGACAGTGCCAGGAGCGCTGGTGATAAAATCCAAGCTTGGCAGGAGGCGTAGCAGGGTCGGGAGGAGGCCAGAAGCCTTGAGTTCTGTGAGGTTCTGTGTTCTCACTTGCCTCTCAGAGAACACAATGATCACGCCCATGAAGTTCAGGGTGTGGGCCCTGTGGGTGGAGGAAGCAGACAACGGGTCAGCTCAGACAGAGAAGAATATGTCAGCAAAGGCAGACAGAGGCCCTACTTAGAATACCGAGTTGAGGAGTTTAGTGGGTTTGCATCTCTACACAAGAGAACAAAAAAATAAAATTGGGTCTGGAGAGATGGCTCAGAGGGCAATGTTTTTGCCACACAAGCCTGAGTTCTGTCCCTAGAACCCATGTAAAAATGGGAGCTAGTTGTGTGAGTATGCAATCCCAGTGCTGGGGGTGGGGAGAGGGGGGCAGAATCATTGTGATCTCTGGGGCTGGATGGCCAGCCAGCCCTAGCCCGTCAGTGAGCTCCAGGTTCAGTGAGAGACCCTACCTCAAAGAATGAAGTGGAGAACCCCTGGAGACACCTAATGTCAGCCTCTGGTGTCTGCATGCATGAATGCATGTCACAGGCACACACACACACACACACACACACACACACACACACACACACACACCCCCCCATTAAAAGCCCGGAAAAATAAGAGTTTTCTTTTTTTTTTTTCCCAAGTGGTTTGTCTTGCTAGCACTGTGCTGGGGTTTTTCTGGAGTGTTGAACAAAGTCGGGGTGCAATGCAGCACAGTGGGTAGCTATGCACACTTTTCAGGCATCATGTGCCTTACAGCAACTCCGCTCTAGAGGCATGTCGCCGGGCCACAGTGGACCAGAAGCCCCGTGAGACACATGCCGTGGCACACAGGAGCGTCACCTTCCTCTTTGCTCCCAGCCTTCCTGGAATGCCTTCAGCCAGAGATGGTTAGCCCCATGCCCTGACATGTTGCAGAGTCTGCCTGTGACACCTGCTGAGTCTCAGAGTCACTCTTCCTGCTCCCTGCTTGGTGTCTACCTACTGACTAAATCTCACCAAAGAGTTCAAAGCTCTGCAAAGAGACAGATCTGCTGTTCTAAGTGGGGTGTTTCAAAGGAAAAGGGGTGTGAGGGTGTGGGGTGTGGGGTGTGGGGGTGTGGGGGTGTGGG